ACCCACGCAAAGAGTACATCAGCCCCCAATCCAGGCAGGCCTGCAGGCGTCGCCTGTGCGGAAAGTCACCTTGGGCATCCGTTTCGGGCACGAACCCTTCGCTACGACTTGACAGCCTTTTTCCTAATGTAAAGTTCCCCAACGATTCCGCAACCCTCAAACCTTACACCTTGAAAGCCCCTCAACTCGAGAACTTGCACGCCCCTGGGCCCCAGCCAGTGCCTTTGCCACCAGCCCTGACATTGAGCCGCGCGCCCGCTGCCGCACTTCGGCATCCACGTTGGCTTCGTGCGCCGCTGTGAGTTCAGTCTGGCACACACAAAGCTGTGCACAACTTCCTTTTGCAAGTGGGTAGTTGTCAAAATTATGGTCCCTTTTGGGGTACCCTACATAATAGGTGCCGTATTATAATAAGGACCCAAAAAGGGACCCTAATTTTGACAACCACCCAAGTCTACCTCAATTGAAAACGCAAGCTAGACTGCTTACGTTTTGGCTGCTCCAGGCTCAAGCTACGGTGGAGGGTCCCACAGCTCCTAGGTTCTTGCTCTGACAAAGCAAAACCATGCAACGTTTGAACGTCCCAAGGCTTCGCCCCTGGCACCACAATATCAAAAACGCAACTACCTTTCAGCGCCAAACCTGGCATCAAAAAAACATGCCAGATCTGACACCCCACTCGAAGTACCCCTGAAAGCCCCGAAAACCCTCAACCCTCTAATACTGTTGATAATATAAACCCTGCGTTGCCTTAAGGACCCTAAACTATAGGAATTATGGTATATATATATATATAATCCTTACTGGGCAATACAGGATTTATATCATCAACCGTAGCACCTCCAGCTCTCCCTCTATGGGCAGCTTGAAGCGGATCTCCTCTTCGAGGCTCCAGGTCTTAAGGATTTGGGCTTCGGCTTCCGTCATCTGGAGGTTAGGGGGTTAGGGTTATGGGGTTAGGGGGTAAGGGTTAGGGGGTTAGGGGGTTTAGGAGGGTTTAGGGGGTTTAGGGGGGTTTAGGGGGTTTAGGGGGGTTTAGGGTTTAGGGTTTGGGGTTGTCTGCTCGTCAGTTTTGCAACAGTCAGGGCTTCGGAACCTCATCTGATCCGGTTAGAGCCGGCTCTAGTGTCATAAGATAGGGGCCTTACTAATTAGAATAAGGTTTTGGGGCTCCTTGATAGTATATTATAAGAAGCAACCCTATCAGTAATATGGGTAATTATTTAGGATTTAGGCTCCTATATTAAACTCTTAACTCTAATCTGACATCCAGGACCCAGAAGGATAAACCACAGGGAGCTGAATGTTGCTCGGTTTAGGGTTTAGGGTTTCCATGCTCTCCTCCCCTTTCCATAGGTCCACATCTCGCCTTCTCGCTGTTCCAGGCTCTTTTCTACTGCTGCTGTTGCTGCTATTCTTATTACTACCCTTACTATGATTATCAATAGTAATATTTCTATTACTACAACAACAACAACAACAACTACTACTACTACTACTACTACTGCTACTGCTGCTACCTACTACTACTACTACTACTACTACTACTACTACTACTATTACTATTACTACTATTACTACAATTACTAATCTTGCTACTGTTACTACAACGACGACGACTACTACTGCTACTAATACTAATCCTCCTACTACTACGACGACGACTACTACTACTACTACTACGACGACTACTACAACATGCTACTACGACGACGACTACTACATACTACTACTGCTGCCAGTACTGATATGAATACCATTGCAACTTAACCCCGGAACCTTCAAGTTTGAGCCAGTCCTCGCCAGCCTTCATCCTGTTTGCTGCGTCGATGAAGGCACTGCTGAAGTCGATGCCCAAGACCTCGAAAACATACATCCATCTCTGTCTCTCTCTCTCTCTCTATATATATATATGCATTTATTTATATACATATGTATATATATATATATAGACTAGATTTAATATACCATATTTATAATAAGGTATCGTATCGAAGAATATACTATAATATAACCTAGTATAGTATAGTGTAGTATCGAGGACAGTATAGAGTACTAGTATAGAATATAATATAGAGCGTAGTCTAGAACACAATAGTAAATAGTATAGAGTATAGTATAGAGTATAGTGTACATGATAGTCTATAATGTAGTATAGAGTGCAGTATAGAGTATCGTATAGAGTAGAGTAGGGTAGAGTATAGTATGGAGTACAGTATAGAGTATAGTATAGAGTCTAGCATAGAGTATAGTATACAATTAGAATTAGAATTAGTATTAGTATTAGTATTAGTATTAGTATCAATTCCAGTACAGTATAGTATCGTATGGTATCGTATGGTCTAGTGTAGTATTAGTATATAGTATAGTATAGTATAGTATAGTATTGCCGAAGCTGCGAGGTAAACTAGGCCAGCTCTTCTCAAGACTCAAAACGTAAATCGAGTGAAGTGTGTTCACGTCATGCACCCGAGTACCAGCACCCAGGCTTCTGCCAAGCCTTCACAAGAACCAAGAGGTGCTGTGCTGTAGTATATTATAGTACAAGATAGTATACGAAACGATACTGTAATGTATTATCCGCCGACCCCGGCTGAAGGCGGTGCCAATGAAGCTGTGTTTAGCCCTCTCCTTCTCTTCTGCTCGGCCACTGCGCCAGCCTTGCCCCGCGTTCGTCAGGTCTCGCACGATCCCCCACGTACCCCAAACCCTGAACCCTAAACCCTCAACCCTAAACCCTACCCCCCCAAGACTTCCGGCGTTGTGCCAGCGCTCACCGGCTCCGGTCCTCGCGCCCTTGTTGCATTCAACAGCACTTAAAGGATCAGGGGACTTAGTAAGTAGGGTTATAACTAGGGTAACTATACTTATAACCCCAATTAGGGGACTTATAACTTTACTTACTAAGTCCAATGATCCTCCAAGCAGCGGCAGCCACTACATCGGGCAGCGGGCCCTTTCTGTTAAAAGGATCGAAGCCCGCCAACACCCTAAACCCTAAACCCTGCATCATCGCGCGTCGTGCTTGTCTGTCTTTTGTGGCCTTATGTGTCGGGCTTCAGGGGGCTGAGCGGCGATCTCTGTCATTTGCGGTTTTTGTTGGCTCTGGCAAGAAGCGAAAACGCTGCAAATATCGAGGCTTTCGTGTGTTTGCCGAATGCCTTATTTCGACAGGTTTTTGTTGTTCCAAACGCTGCCTTTGGAACCTTGGCGTGTGGACTTGGCAGCCCCGCGGGCGCGCATCATGCGCATCAGCCGGGGGGTCTGTGGGCTCCTGCAGGGATTTGTGGCGAGCTGCGGCGTTCAAGGCTTGGAAGAGTTGTTAAAAACCCTTTCTGGACTTCAAGCTTCTGCCTTGGAGGACAAGCGGCCCCCCTTTGATGCTCATGATGCGCACTTTTGGGCCGACTTGATGGGACTCAAATTTTCTGGGAAAGGTCCCGGGTTGGCTGCTTGCGCTGCGCGGGCAGCCCTTAAATATTGTAGTACATTTTACAGTATATTATAGTATAGTATAGTATAGTATAGTATAGTATAGTGAAGTATAGTATAGTGAAGTATAGTATAGTGAAGGCATAGTGAAGTGTAGTATAGTATAGTAGAGTAGAGTAGCAGTAGGAGTAGGAGCCGGAGTAGGAGTAGGAGTAGGAGTAGGAGTAGGAGTAGGAGTAGAAGTAGGAGCAGAGTAGGAGTAGAGTAGAGTAAAGTAGAGCATAGCATTCATGTTATAATATGACATTATGCTACATTACATTACATTACATTACATTACATTACATTACATTACATTACATTACATTACATTACATTACATTACATTACATTACATTACATTACATTGCATTGCATTACATTACACTACACTACACTACACTACACTACATTGCATTATATTACATTGCATTACATTACATTACACTACACTTAGTTCTACCAGAACATATTAATATATTACAACTGCAATAAATATCAGTATACCTGCTATACTGTAGCATAGTAAGCTATAACACATTATCTATGATATACACACTTACACGCGCACAATTAAGCAATATGGTCTTGCCGCCTTTCGGGTTTGGAGTGTTCTTGATCTGAGGGGGAGGCTCAAAGCACAGGCCGTGGTCCATCATTAGTATAAAAATGATCTAACCGTAAACCGTTAACCCTAAACCCTAAACCCCAAAACCCTAAACCCTAAAGCCCTAAACCCTAAAGCCCTAAACCCCAAAACAAGACCCTAAATCTACTCCTCCTTGTGGCCGGCTCCGTGGAGGGTGTCGGTCCATGAGTCCCTACATGCGGCTAGCGTTTAGGTTCAGTGATAATGAGTAATATAGGGGCCTTAATGATAAGAATAGAGTTTTGGGATTCCTTTAAAGGGTTCTATAAGGGGTACTATACCGATTTAGGCTATAGGGCCTGAATAATAAGAGGGTTGTGGGGCCATGATACGATGCTTATAGTAAGGAACCCCCCCAGAATAGTATAGGTAAGTGTTTAGTGGCTTCTACATTATACTACGTTAGGGCTTATGGCCCTGAGATTTGAGAGGCAACCAATCTCGTGGCCCTCTTCCTGGTGCTCCAAATCCCTGGGAGGCGGAGCATTCTAGGCGTAATGTAGGGGCCTAAATAATTAGAACGGGGTTTTGGGGGTTCCTTATTGTAGTTATAGTATAGTGGACCCCAAAACCCTATTCAAACTATTTAGGCCCCTATAATTATTAATGTAAGGGCCAAAATAACTGGGGTGTATTCCACTATAAGAGTGTTGGCAATTATGTAGGCCCTCATGTTGATGGCATCGCACAGCTGTACAAGCGCCATACTGTCCCTTCCCACTAACGTGGGAATCTCTTTGCACATACCTCGTTCGAGGTGAGTTTCGTGCCATGCATCACCGATGATCCTGGCAAGGATTCGCACTGGGCTAGTGGACTCCAAACATTTGAGGATCCCAGCATCATGTCATCGTTAAAAATCAACATGCTCTTAAAAAGCTTAGATATTTTGCGCGTCAATCAAGGGCAAGCAACGCCACAGCAAGACACTGAGGATACCCGAAAGTATCAAAAGAGTCGCATACCCAGGAGTTCGATCGCCGCAAAGATGCCACGAGAGCGCCGCGCTCGCACGGTCCGCCGCCATCAGCGTCGCGAAAAGCAGCATGCCAATGGATACCAGTCCCACTGACAGCATCAGCTGCTGTCGCACCCCAGCGGCAAGGTTTCGAAACTTGTAGGACAATCGGAGTAGAATCAGAACTATGCCTGGTATCAGCATCATGCAAAATATCACAGCCGCAATCACGATGTCTACTGGCACAAAGTCTCTTGCGATGGGCCCAATCCAGAAGTCGAGAAATAACCAAAACAGAGGGCTGATTGCCTGCAAAATGCGCCAATATGAGAAAACGTTATTCGCAAGTTGGTGGACCAATGTTGTCATCACATGGTGCCGCACCAAAGTCTCGAACTGCTCGGCGGAGCCAAACCAAGACGAAATGCAACGAATCAGAATGCTTCGATCACAAATCATGGGCTCACGTGTGAGTGGGTCGGTGTGACCGCAGGAACAGCAGTAGCACAAAGATTGCTCAATGGTGAAATAGCGGACTTGATTCTGCACCACATCTATGCTGCGACAATGTTCGAGGACCACATATGCGAGCGCTGTGAAGCAGGGGAAGCACAGACCACATATGATTATAGTACCCCAAGGAATCATTGGCAGCTGCGAAAATTCGAAGGCTAGCAGGAGTATGCTCAAACCGAGGTGCCCTAGCAGTAATGTGGGGCCAACAAACACCGGGCAGGCCACAAGGTGCCGCTGCGCGTCTGCAGAAGGGCCCTTGCCATGCAGGAATGCAGCGATTTCCTCAGCGGCTTTTTGCTAAGGTTTAGGGTTTAGGGTTTAGGGGTTACTGAGTACCAGAAAAGCTGAACACAGCAGACTTAAAGGACTTAAAGTTGCAGTAAAAAGCTACCACTACCAAGCTGCAAACATGCACCAGAGCCTAGAGGTGTAAGAGGAATCCCAAAGAACCAAAAGCGACTTCGAGCGCTTCAATATAGCACCCATGCTGACCAAGCCCTCAGTCTTCAGCTGGTCGTCTACCTGATTGATGCAGGCAATGTCGAGGAAAGCCAACTTCTCCCTGCGCCAAAGCAGCAAAGTCAGGTAGTAGCTCACAGCACCCGTGAGGACGCACCATCCGGATTCATGCTCCCCCCTAGCCCACGTCGGAAGGATATCAGCCACACACAGCACGAAGGATGCTAAGGCAATCAGTGTACCCACCACACAAGCAGGGAAACTGTTGTGCAGGAACAGTAATTATGCTGACGTACTTCAGCCACCCCGGCGTGCGCCAGCTGTGGGACCAAAACTCGTCGAGCTCGAGCACCGCCTTGCTGTACACATGGAGAGCCTCGAGATCTCCACGGGCCCACATGCGTGGTGTGCGCTGCAGAGCTTGGCACACCGGAATCCCTCGGACGATGTCTGGCCTCGTGGGGTGCATCGATGCCAAGATCTGAATGTAAGTCTCCAAATGTGGGTTGACAACATCCCGGGAGCCGTCCGATACAGATCTCTCTGAGGGTGCTTTCGAATTCGAAGCATCCACTACCACTCCCGAAAGCTCAGCGGGGACTCCGAGGCACGTCTCAAGGCCATTAGCGGACATATGGGCCAGTGCGAGTGGCTGCAACCCTGACCCATAAGCAAGTCCTCCATGTACGAACAACAATTCCGCTACCACCACTTGGAGTATCGAAAAAACTGTTTGGTTCAGCCCTCTGAGCGATAATGAGCTTCAAGGAGGCTAGAGCAGCAAGAAAAGGATCTCGACATGGGAAGCGGACCCTATAGACAAACTCTGCACGCATCTTCTACCGCTCCACCGGACAGCTCCCCTTTGGAAACCTTTCTCTGCTACCTCATCGCCAAGATCGGAAGTTCCATTGTCTGGGAGCCTCCCCGACACTTTAGACGCTCTACAGGTATACTGTTACGACACCCTGACTACTTCGGCCTACTGTAGGGGCCAAAATAAGTAGAATACGGTTTTGGAGTACATTATACTGTAACAGAAAGGAACCCCCAAAATAGTATAGGTAATTATTATGG